CCTTTCGAATTCATTTCACTCGAATTTGAATTTCATTTAGCTTTTCCATACAAAAACATAATAAGTACACCCTTCCACCCTCGCATTTTCTTTCAAATTATTATGCGTTAGTGTGAAAAAGTTCGTCAATTTTCTTCGTATCTAACTACAGGTACGCTTCAAATTCGCTTTTGTGTATATAATCTATATTCCCTTCAAGGTTTAGATTCATGCTGTCATGAAGATATGTGTATTGTTTGATCTATCATCTATGAAAGTTTGTTTATCGAGTGTTCGCGTGAATTTTACTAATCGAGCTTATTTCTTTGTTACGCGACTTAGGTTTTTTGCTTGTCTTTGTTTTTTATCTAATTGGGAATGAAATTGGAGTTTAAAAGCTATTGTAAGTAAAGTTTCGTATTTCAAATTCTATGGCAAATGAAAAACGTAAGCTAACAATGGATTCAGATCAAGTAGAGTTCCTAGGGTAACTGATCCATTGGGTTTCGTACTACTTGATCAATTCATGAAAATTTTGCAATTGAATCCCTGTTCTGCATGCTCGAGATTATAAATAGCAGTTAAGTGTTGCTCGATTCTTTTAGTTATTGGGTGTGACGAACCAAAATGTTTAGTAATTTGGATTATTCAAATTCAACAGTAATTCTATAATCTATAGCAACTTGTTTTTTGCTTTGTTGTCAAGCCCTAGATAAATGTAGATGTTGTTGTTGTCTGCATGGAAACAATATTATGTTTAATACCTCTGTGCATGTGTTGTTTTAGTCATTGATAATCTCCATTTTCTTTTCTTCATCAATTACTTGAAGCTTTTTTACTTAAGTATATTTAGTTAAACGCTATGGCTTCAGTTCAATAAAGACAGTCTTTTACTTCTCACAATATTTTGTAATTTTGTAATGACAAAACTCTCCACCCTACTTTACCCTCCTTATAATTATTAATTATTTATACAAAAAGAGTTTAAAAAAATATACAACTATAAACTTTCTTTCTTTTTTTATTCAAACTCAAGAACATGAAAAACTGGTTTCTTTCATTTTCTTCCTAATTTCAGAACACAATTATGAGTATTATTTTTGTCCTTTTTCTTTTTCCCATCCCTTTCTCTTCAAAAAGAACTTGAGAACACATGTAAATGCTACTCACAAGTCAAGTATTGAATGTGCATAATAGCAACTACTAACATATTTACCCTTTTCTTTTCATATTTAGTTTTCTGTATTTGCAAGGTTATAAAATATGGCTGATGTCGAGGAAATTCAACCCCTTGTTTGCGACAATGGAACTGGAATGGTCAAGGTAAAATGTACCACAATCTAACATTAAAAAAAAACAACTCGTTTAATCATACTTTTCTTGCATCTTATATTATTTTACATTTTATACTTACGTAATTCTAAAAAATCAAATATTTAAGGCTGGATTTGCTGGAGATGACGCACCAAGAGCTGTGTTTCCTAGCATAGTTGGGCGACCTCGACACACAGGTGTAATGGTGGGAATGGGCCAAAAAGATGCTTATGTGGGTGATGAAGCGCAATCAAAAAGAGGAATCCTTACATTAAAATATCCAATAGAGCATGGAATAGTAAGCAATTGGGATGATATGGAGAAAATTTGGCATCACACTTTCTACAATGAGCTCCGTGTTGCCCCTGAAGAACACCCAGTGTTACTCACAGAAGCACCTTTGAACCCTAAAGCTAATAGAGAAAAGATGACACAAATCATGTTTGAAACTTTCAATAGCCCTGCAATGTATGTTGCTATTCAAGCCGTGTTGTCTCTTTACGCAAGTGGGCGTACAACAGGTATGCACTTCCAACCATTGATATGATTATCAAAAATCAACAAGCTACTGTGTACTTGATTCTGGTTTCGCTTAGTGGTTAATGGAAGAATAACTCTTTTACAGAAACTTTTTAAAACGTATTAAATAATTTTCTAAATTCATATTTGAAGGTATTGTTTTGGACTCGGGTGATGGTGTAAGCCACACGGTGCCTATATACGAAGGGTATGCTCTCCCGCATGCCATCCTACGGTTAGACCTAGCGGGCCGTGACCTTACTGATTCCTTAATGAAAATCCTTACCGAAAGAGGATACTCCTTCACAACAACCGCAGAAAGGGAGATTGTGCGCGATATAAAGGAAAAACTCGCGTATGTTGCACTCGATTATGAACAAGAATTGGAAACCGCAAAAAGTAGTTCTTCAATAGAGAAAAGCTACGAGTTGCCAGATGGACAAGTGATTACTATTGGGGCGGAGAGATTCCGGTGTCCGGAAGTCCTATTCCAGCCGTCGCTAATCGGAATGGAATCGACTGGGATACATGAAACGACTTATAATTCGATCATGAAGTGTGATGTTGATATAAGGAAAGATCTTTATGGGAATATTGTGTTGAGTGGTGGAACCACTATGTTCCCCGGTATTGCTGACCGTATGAGTAAGGAAATTACCCAATTGGCCCCGGGTAGTATGAAGATCAAGGTGGTTGCACCGCCAGAACGAAAATATAGCGTTTGGATCGGAGGATCCATCCTAGCTTCACTTAGCACCTTCCAGCAGGTAAGTGTTTCACATCAGATAGACACAGTTAGTCACATCTACATGTACATATGTTGGAGTTATGTTTCTTTTTCCTCGATTTTGGAGGGAGAATAAAATATTTTATATCATTTATCTAACATGATATCAGAGCAAATCGGTAACATTGTTTAGTTTAATATTTGCAGATGTGGATTTCGAAGGCCGAATATGATGAATCTGGTCCACCGATTGTTCATAGAAAGTGCTTTTAAGTTTGTTACGAAGAAGAAATGTGGTATGTACGAGTTTATATATTATTGGATTTTTTTTCTGCGGGTGAGGCTTTATTTACTGCTAATCTGCTATAGAATGAATATATAGTGTGGTGATTGAATGAATGTATATTGGGTGATCATTTTATTATTATTATTATTATTATTATTATTATTATTATTTGTGTGTTCTTGCCATATTTTTGGTTTCTTTCTTTGTACTTGTATTTACATATGGGTAACATGATATTTGTTATTGAGGTTTATTGTTTATAGATTTTTTTTTTTTTTTTGTGTTTATCAGGTGAAATGGATTTTTTTTTAAATATTGTTGTTGCATTTTGTATATTATTTGTGAAATAAATAGAGATAATTCCAAATGTGAAACAAGCTAACAACCCAACGTGTTAAGTGCACTATAATCATTATAATGTGAATTGCATTCTCACAAACTACGATAGAATATCGACTTGGAAAGCAACGTCTCAGCCCCTCGAAGTATGAGTCCAACTATTCATCTAAAATAAAAGCGCTCATGTTTTAATCAAACGGAAAACAACAATAATTATTTCTTTCACAAAAACTAAGCACAAGGATTTCTTTTCTCATGTAGATTGTGAGGACTGTTTTTTTACTCGTAAAATCCCAAACGAGGAGTACACAAAATTTTCCTTTGAAAAGATTTTATGGCTTCATACAAAACATTCACCAAGGGGTGTAAACTCGTTTTGAAGGGGACTATAGATTTGTATTATATGCTTATACGGTACACTATCTCCGAAACACAGCAAGAGATCTCCGATGAAATGAAATCCCACAACCGCTCGCTAATCGGTTCAACACATGTACCTGAGACGGAACCCAAACCTGAACAATATCCCTGAGAGCTCATCTCCAAACTGAAATACAATCAAGCCAACAATCAGAACATACCAAAAAAATCCAACTCTCATAAGCTTCTTAGATTCTCCAAGACTCTCACCGACTCGAGTATGGATCCTATGCTTTCAGTAGTAAGGGCCTAATACTACATTTCACACATATCCATACTTTTCTCACCAATCCTCCTGAATCCTCTAAGTCACTTCTTCAAACCATTATGCAAGTACTCATTGGACCATACTATTAACCCACTGCAGCATATCCTAGGCTTTCCTAGGTTCATGAACCCACCTAGTCCTCAGCTGCTGTAGGATTCCAATTAATGTCAACGAGTTATCTCATGAATACAGCTAAATGCAACAGAAATCAGATAATCCTTCGAGTAAAAGACTTGATCCTAGAACGGTTGGACTCAGACGAGAGTTGCACAACAGGGTCAAGTCCATCACTCTGAGATTATCTGGCATGTGCCCCATGTGACTTAGCATATTCACTTACTAGCTAACTCACATCGCTAACAGTCCCACAAAGCATAAAGCAAGCAACATTCAGACAATGGAAAAACTAACCAACATACTCCAATCAAACCATTCTATCCTCTAATCAGGAATATGTACAAGCATGTAATTCGAAGGCTCATACAATCAGGCATAACCAAAACATGTCATCCTATCACTGGCTGATCAGTTCTAGCATGCAAATCTACAAGATCATATAAGCATACAAAGGCATATCTCCTAGATCCTTAGCTCTAATCTAGCATGTGAATCACATAATCATATCATATCACATAACAAACATGTATTGGTATTTTGGGAACCACTTACTTGAGCTCGGTCGATGGCACGCATCACACCCCTTTCTTTGCTTAGAAATTCTTTTTATGAAAATGATTTTCTTTTGAAAGTTTTCATACCACGTCCTCAGTTTGAGTTCAGACACACTCGAGAGTATACCCGAATCCCTCAAACAAAGGCTTTGATACCAACTTGTAACATCCTAAAATTCATGACCAAAAATTTCATTTTTAATATAACTAAAACATATTTGTAACTTGGCTAACACGTTGAAAAGCATTTCAAATAAAACATTTATCAGAGTTCATTCCTAGAAATCACATATTCAGAAAACATAGGTGTATGCGTTGCGATCGTCTCGAGCTCCTTTATTTGAAACCTGAAGGTACCTGAAACCAAAACTGAAAACCATAAGCACGAAGCTTAGTGAGTTCCCCAAATACCACATACCATACATATCAACTAATCCATACATGTCAAACATAACCGTGAGCCATGCATATATCTTAATCAATAAAGGTGCTATGTGTTGCCCATAGTCTTGCCATTATGCCACGGACTTCCTCGTGGTCTTTCTTGTCAAGCTGAGGGCCATCCCCTAAGATTTACAGACAAGTGCCAAGAGCCACCTCCTGGTCTTCCATGAAAGCATCACAAAGACAACTAGAATGCATACTACTCTACTTAGCTAATTAGCATACAATGTGTCAGGAGCCACCTCCTGGTCTTTCGTACATAATGCCTAGGGCTAACCCATGGGTCTTCCTACAATACATAATAGCATACAGTGTGTTAGGAGCTGCCTGCAGGTATTTCATACGTAACGCCTAGGGCTAACCCCCCGAGTCTTCCTACAATACATAAAACAAATGGGCCAACATTGGCGCCTTTGACCCATACAAAAAGTAAGGCAACTCACCTTGAATGTTAAAGCTTGCTGCACGAAATCCTTAGTTGCTGCCCTAACCATTCCTCGAGCTATCAATACCAAAATATCACCCAATTAGCAATTGGGTTCTAATCTATTACTATAACTTCATACCCGGGATAAAAAGAAATTTTTACCCCTAACCTTTCCCTATCCAAACTATGGTCCAACCTATAATCTAAAAAGGCCCAAAGACCCATTAATCAACCAATGACCCAATTTTCCAAATTAGGCCCAATCCTCTATATGGGTCTCGCCATGAGGCCCAATCTTTCATTTCAGTCCAATACACTCTATATTCTGATGGTCTAATAATAATCCAAACACTTAAGCCTAAAATGTAAAAAGACACTCATTGCCCAAACCATGGCACAATTTTCTAAATTGGGCCTAAATCCTTCTAGGGCCTTTTCAACATTACTAATAGCCCACAACTTGATGGCCCAACAAGCCCAAGATAAACAAGCCTAACAGCTAACCCATACTGAAGCCCAATAATCAAAACTCCACCTGACTGAGTACATGGGGCGTACTCAGTTGTACGTTAAGTGTACAAGCTGTTTGGCTTGTATGTTGTGCGTACAAGCTTTTAAGCTCAATGTACTCTCCTGTTAAGCCAAAATCCCAAAAAGAGCTTAATCCTTTCAGACCTAAGGCCCCAATCGCAGATCTGAGTCCATTGAAGGGTCTTAATCCACAAAGTCGATTACTTAGTGGCTTGCATGCCCCTAAATAAGCTCAAACTCCAAAAATGGCATTCTATTCCCATTAAAATTGCCTTAACTCTTGCATGAACCCATTAAGACCTTCAAGATGACAACTTTCTGTCATAGGGACTCAAATAGCACCAAGGGTGGCAACCCTAATCCTAGGAATCGGATTTGAACCATAAAGCTTCATCTTTGGCACCAAAAATGTCCAAAAACCCAACACAAAAGATCTAAGGAAATAACCACCAAGTTTAAGACTTTATACCTCAAATGAGAGCCAAAAGTTGGTGTAGTTCTGGATCTAAAAGCTCTATCTTCTCCAATAAGTGTTTAAGAATTAACACCTTCTTCAAAATCACCAAAATACTCTTCTAATGGCCTTCTAAGCTTCAAGAACATTCAAGATTAGGGTTTCATAGTATTTCCTTTAGGGTGAGAGGGAGGTTGGCCTTTGAGGCATAATGTTCCTTATATAGTGCCAAACCCTAATTCTAGGGTTTTGGTCTGAATGGAGTACGCCCCACGTACGCCCAATGTACTCACAAACCTATCGCAACCATACAGCCTTCTACGCCCCACGTTCTCAATGAGTACACCTCTCGTACTCATGGAACCCCTAAATGTGACACCCAAAGTTTTGAAGGCCAAGAAAGGAAAGAAAAGCCCTAATTTTAAGGGTAGACTCGGTGAGTCCAAGGAGGGACTCCGCGAGTCCGAGCTGGATCCGGGTCGAGGAGTAAGCGACCGACTCGGCGAATCGGCCAAGGTGACTCGGCGAGTCTGGTCTGAACGGGGAAAACCCTAATCCCGGGAGTTATACCCTATTTAAAGGTGTTATGTCCCTCCCTCAGCCCCCGTATCACCCTAGAGAACCAGTGCACCTTGATTTCGTAAGAGCTTCCATTATTTGAGAGATAAAGCTTAGAGGAAGGAACTGTGGGGGAAAGGAACTTGAAGATCAAGTGGCTTGCTTCAAAGGAGGAGGTGTAGATCCGAGATCTACTTCAGTGGTGTTCATCTTGGAGGTAACAAGCTTCTATTTTCCCTTCTTTGCACCTAGATCTATGTGTGTATTTGGGCATTCATGGCATTAGAGTGACCTTTCGAGCTAGGGGTTCAGATCTAAGGTTGTTACCTCAGATCCATGCTTATTTTGATCTAAAACCCCGTAAAGTATCAGCCCTTGAATTGATTTTGAAGCCCCTTGGCCTTAAACCCTAGTTTATGGCATATTTTGCCTAGATCTCCTTCTCTACACGTAAAGTTTGCAACTTTACATGTGGAATAGGCTTGGGAAGGGTAGATCTACAGCTTGGAGTCCATGCATGACTCAAAACTCCTCTGCATGTAAGGAGAATTGAAGGGACTCGGCGAGTCCTTTGAGTGGACTCGGCGAGTAGCATGAAGTTGTGGAGAAACTCGACGAGTGGGATGAACAACTCGTCGAGTCGTATGAAGATTACCTTGTACTCGGCGAGTCTGTTCTTGGACTCGGCGAGTCAGGTCGCGAAACCCCAAACCCTTCGAGTTGAGACTCGAATTAGTGAGTCGGGTGGAGACTCAGTGAGTTGGTCAGGTCAGGACTCAGAAATCGGTAGACTCGGTGAGTCATGGACTGACTCGGCGAGTCGAGTCGCGAATAGAGGGAATCAGATCATTTTGAACTCGGCGAGTCAGTAGGGTGACTTGGCGAGTAGGGTTGACCTGGAAGGTTGACTTTGACCAGGACCTTGACCTTGGACCAGGGTTGACTTGGTTGTCTTTCGGGGGTCAGTTAGACTCAGTGTTGCATTGATATTGGTAGTTCGGGGAGCAAGGGGAGCAAGAGTACCGTGAGTTGTCGGGCAGCAGCTAGTGAGATCATCA